GCTTCGGTGTGACCAGTTCTCCTCAACACACCACCTTCAGTATATCTTAATGGAAATATATGTCCGGGTCGGTTAAAGTCGTTCGGATCTGTGTTTTCAGGATTTGCCAGTGAGCGCGCTGTCAATGCACGATCGTGAGCCGATATACCAGTCGTGGTATCTAAAAAAGACGAATGGTCAGAATGAATGCGATGAAAAATCGCAAGTATAAAGCATATACTCACTATGCCTGTAATCTACTGATATGGTGTATGCGGTCTTCATTTTCTCTGTGTTTTGTGGTACCATCAGTGGTAGTTTTAACTGCTCCAGTCGTTCAGGAGTAGCCGGCACACAAACCAATCCGCTAAATTTTATTTACACATAATAATTATCAGTAATTAACACTTTTCATATGTTCAAATTGAAACAAAAACTTTTACACACCTTGTGTGCCGTATCATAAATGCCATCTTTTCGGTGGTTACTTTCTCGGCTGCAATTATCAAATCGCCTTCATTTTCGCGATCCTCGTTATCTACAACAACTAAAAACTTTCCTTCCGCTTCACATGTTATGGTTTTAGAAATAAAGCCGTTAGACTTACTGAACATTCGTTCTGGGAGTTTATAGTTTATTTTCGAAAATTACCAAAATCTCGTATGGCGTCTTCGACAGAATCAAACCGAACTTTGGATTTTCCGTTGGTTACTGCTGACTTTATTTCGCCATCTCTGACTCCATTAGCAAAATTTACGCAAGTATATTCTTTAACCATTTTTGATAATTTTGATATTCCGATAATTTATTGAGGAAAAATACAGCGCAACTCAACTTATAAGGGCATGGATAGATTTTTTCCGCATCTTACCGATTATTATTACAGAATTGATATTACGTAATATAAGGTTGAAAATTGAATTTACTTACTAATTACAATTAATCAAATATTTGTAATCTAGTCGACACCATCTAATGCTCGGTGCCTGTGTTACGTCCATTGTGTGAGAACTGACAATGCATTAAGTCAGAAGCTTCCTGAATGCAAATGATACTTATAAATCAAAGCTTTCTAATCTTCCGTTTTTTTTGGAAGCCTACTCATTACTGGTCATAATTTAAATAAAATTTAACTTGAGGCCTAAATTCAGATGGAACCAAATTAGAAATCATTAAAAATCTTATTAATTTATTCTTGTATAAACCTGCACATATTATATTTTGTAATCTATTTTATGTACACGTGTTGAATCTTTTTTTTATTTATTTCTACTGGTGTAAATTTTGATTATATTATATAATAATCAATTATATTGTTAAATTTTTTTAAAAAATTAAATATAAATATAACTTTTTTTTTACAATTCTAATTCTTAAACACCAAGTCTTTTGTTATAAGGATTTTATACTGTGATAAAATGAGTAAACTTTTAGCAATATTATTTATTTTTCTTATTTATTATTTATAAAATATAAAATATAGATCAAATTAATCATATGGTTCAAATATAATTATTTGTATATAGTAATTTTATAATTATCAAACATATATGATAATTATCAAATTATCAAATTAATATGTAAATGCTCAAATCAATTCAACATATATTAAAATTTTTAAAATTGAATCAGTTTAAAAATACATTAATAAAAATTTTATTTATTTATTTATTATTTTTTTTTTTTTAAGGTAAATATTTTTTTTTTTTAACTTAACTGGCTAGGCCTTGCTTAATATGCTTTATTTAGTTCACATGTGTATTTTTTTTACAAGAGTTATTATCTATAAACTATTCTAGATGCATATTAGGCTATATCAGATTTTTTCCATATTGGCTTGTTGCTATTGACTTGTCCTATTGATACATGTCAAGGCTAATGTACCAAGACTCCATCAGTATTGTTATTATATGAATAAAATAAATTGAAATCAATAATATTATTTCCTTGATTCAATCAGTTTCTTACTAGTTTATATTGTATATTGGATATTTTCACTTATTTGTCTGCCACTCCTTATTAATTGAATTGTATAGTGAATTGATTATTATGTAACTGTCACCTGTTTTTATTTCTTTTATCTATTCTTCTAATGTTTTTACTTTTTTCCTATTGTTGAAAACATTCACATTTCTGTGTCCATAGCTTTTACAGTACTTCTATCATCCTGCTTATTACTTTTTTCAATATATTTTTTGTTTTTGTACCATTTGCTAATTCTATCAGCAAAGTTGGATCTTTGTCAAAGATTCCTTTAATAATATATCTGAGATTTCTTTCTAAATCAGTTATTATTTCTTCTAGCTGGCTTTATCAATTAAGTTTATTTCTTTTGACTTCCATTCTGCTAAAGATTTCCTTTTTTAAGATTATTAAAAATTTTGATCTGACTTGATTTGTGTAGTACTCTTTATATATGTGTTTTGTGGTTTCCTGTTGATCACATTAGAAGCATTTTCCATCTTTATAAAGATCTGGTTTTCTTTTATATAATTTGTCTTTTGTTGGCAATTCCTCATTGAGGAGTTTGTATTTAAATGCTTTGATGTTATGGTCTCGTTGGTTAATTTCAAAGCTGATAATTTTTGATGGTGACAAGCTAGCCTATGTTCTTTTCCAGTCTATTTCTTTTTTATCACCAGTTTTTAACCATGCTTTGTGTCTCTTTTGTGTGGCCCATACATTGATCCATTTGCTATTTTGCCAATATTTCATAAATCTATTAATGCCAATGTCTAGGTCCTCTTTGTTCCATTGCAATATATATGTTAAGCTTTCAATCTGTTGATTTTCTATTTTAACTATCTACTCATGTCCAAGCTCTCTTCCTTTTTTTATTAGAATATCTGCTCTTTCATTATTGCTATCTCCTACATGAACCTTAATTTTCCTGAACTCTATTATTGCTTTCCTGGATCAGATTTTATTTATAATAAGAGTTGTTATAAGAAGGTTAGTTGTTTTTGCCAAATGCTTTTTTGAAGGAAATTTAGATTGTATTGCATATATTGCACTTTGGCTATCTGTATATATTGTTACCTTTGTATTAGTATTTGTAATCACCAATACTGTTAGAATTGTCACAAGTTCTACTCTTATTGATAATGAGAATCCCTTATATCTGTCATTGAATTCGATTTGTGTTTGTGTTTCTCAGTTGATAATAATCCCTCCTATTCCTATTTTGACTTGCCTATTAGCATATTTGTCGAGCGAGCCATCTGTATAGATATCTATTATTTTTCAATCCTTAATTGTTCTTTTTATTTCTAGAAATTTCTTCTTGATTTTGTGATGTAGTTTGAGTTCTTTCAGATCTTCCGTGCTTGTTACTTCATTCTTTATATCATTAATGATAATTTGTGAAATGTTCGTTGTTTCTGATAATGCATAACTCCAGTTATAGATTTGTCTAATGGAATTTGGTAATACTTGAACTCGAGGAAGGTTATCCATTATGGGATTGTATGGTTTTAAGCTAATTTGTACCACATCTTTTATTAATTATATGCTTATAGCTGCCTATATTTTATAGCAACATATATTATGGATCTGTTTTACTTATATACTACTATAATATACTTTAAGTTACATATTAACAAGTAATATATATATATGTTTATAGTAGATCTATTTATATATGAGTAACTATATATCTATCTTATATAATGCTATATACAATTACTATTTTATTTAGAAGAGGTCACCAGTCCCTACTAAACTTAGAAAGATGCATAAATCCTTCTTAATTTTTCCTAGAACACTTTTATTTAAGAGTAGTATGATTATCAAACTATTGATTACAATATCTTGAATCTTGATTTTCAGTCCTTCGGAGTGATTCGCAGATTTCTTCTTCTACCAAGGCTTCCCGATAGTAAAGTCTGTGAAAGACTGCATAGCCACATACTTGATTGGACTTGAAGCTTACCAGCAATTCTGATTTGTCCTCATCAGATCATATAAACTTCTTCACCAGTGATATGCTACTGGTTTGGGATCTACTTTTCTTATTATCAGTTGATAACATTATCAGGAAATTTTTTTGGCGAAGATCTTCACAAATCTTCGGGCGTAGACCTCCGGAGGAACTCCGTCGTCGTTAAAA